GATTTGGTGTTTAGATCATGCATTAGTGTAGTTCAGGATTTCTCTTCTATCTGCATCTCAGACCTCTAAAATATCTTTACCTTTCTTTCTCCAAAACTCTTAAATTTCTGCTCTCATGTCCCCATACTCTTTGTGGCGGAGGTGTGGTCCCTGGCTCAGCTGCAGGGGAGGGGTGGTGCAGTGAGATCACGGGGCAATGCCGTGGTGGTTGGTGACATAGGTGTGTGAAGTTTTTAGTTAACGATGTCTCTCTCTCGGTGAATTTTAGTGAACCCGGGGCAGAGAGTGGAGAGGTCAGAATGCGGCTGTAAGCTGCACCCGTGGGTGCCGAGCCGAGGAAACAGACAGAGAGACTGTCAGTAGTGCGTGTCAGCAATAAAACAGGAAATAAACCCAAACAGTGCGTCTACTTTTGGTCATTCTTCACACTCTTCATCACTTTGCCCTGTATGAGTCACTTGACTGCTCTGTGGTAGCCTATGTCACCATTTTCAATCAAACAATGTGCAACTAATTGTGATTCAGTGTTCTCTCCCTGATTGCATCATGAACAGGGTTAATTTTTAGCACTTTCACAGTATCTTCTGGTATATAATACACTGCAAAAATAACAATTTCAGTCACTTTGTCTTGCATCTGCTTAAAAGCGCCCACATTTTTTTCTCTGTCAGATTTGGAGAGTAATCACTTGTAACACCTGTTAGTTTGTAACATTTTAGTCCAGGCTTAATCAGGCATGTCTTGAGCCACCCTCACATCTCTCCATCTTTTGATTTCCTTCGGTTCCACAGTTCCTCTCTTGGCACCCTATCTTCTGCTTTCTCTAGTTTCACAAAGACACAGTGGAGGTCCTTCTGACTTTTTCTATACTTCTCCATCAGCACTCTCAAAGCAAACGTCACATCTGTGGTGCTCTTTTTCTTCATGAAGCCACACTGCCCCTCGCTGATCCTCACCTCTCTTCTTATCCTAGTTTCAACAACTGCTTTCACATAAGTTAATGGTTTGGTTCATCGTTGTACGTGCATTTAAAATAAAAACAGCATTTCCCTTCAAAATAAAACCAATAAAGTTATATTATGTTTTCCCACAAAACTGCTAAAACCTAAGTCATTCTCAAATGGGAATCTTACCCGACAGCATTTGGTTGCTAAAATGCATCAAACTGCATGATATATACTTATTTAGGTTTGCATCCTAATTTCTCATTTACCTCATGTGGGCTGCATGTAGCCTATATAGAAGGAATATACTAGTAAGACAGAACAAAGTTAGCTCAACTAAACAACTTCAAATTCAGTACTGCTCTTACTCAGTTTCCTGTCAGTACCAACTACTAAAGTGGATTCAGGCGATGAACAAACACACATAGAATAGTATAGCTTATCGGGCCTTTATATTGTAACTATGTTCATAGGCATGACTGTAGTCACAAAGCACTAAAGCAACATATTAAATCTTCTCAGGAAATCCAGTAATGATTTCCAAACACTCGCTGTTTGCACAGAACACCCAGCTTTACCACCAGCTTTCTGTTTGCTCAAATGCAGAGAATGTAAATCCTTAAACTTCAGTATTTGCATTAAGAACCTTCATTTTTTTCAGTTTATCCCATATTTCATGTTGTCTTTTAGTTTCTTTATATATTGACAAAACGTTTTCATCCTGGTTTTCAGTGGAATTTGCGTCTTGCGCTTCTCTTGCAGTGTTTGCAAACGCTGCATACGGAAGATGGACCACCACTGTCCCTGGGTCAACAACTGTGTTGGAGAGAACAACCAAAAGTACTTTGTGCTTTTTACAGTAAGTCCACTGTTAGTCTGTAAATTGACGGAAAAACACCCTGAAGGTTACGCCTGTCACATGATTTTCAATCATAAAGTCACCAGTTGTTGCTGAAGAAATGGAGCACAGTTTCTTGGTAAACGCCACTCTGTTTGTGGTTAGCCTGTGTTGTCAGTTCCTGCTCATTGTATCCACTTTCTCATTTTTCTTTTTTAACCCAGATGTACATTGCACTCACTTCTCTCCACTCTTTGGTCATGGTGGTCTTCCATTTCCTCTACTGCTTTGAAGATGATTGGACGAGTAAGTGCTTTTTCCTTGTTCACAGTTCTCTTTAGCCTTCAAACACATAAAGAACAGAGCTCTAGCTGTAAATAGACATCTTCCCTCAAACATGACAGTAAAAAAAGAAATTTGCTTGATTTTATATTTTGTATTTACATACATAATCATCTTACAATATTCTTCACATTAGTTTCCATTTCTTAAAGGACCATATATCTGTTCTTGTGTTTATCCCATCCTGTTTACATAAATGGGGGACAAAAAAACAGAAACGCCTTCTACAGCCACAAAAATCATTGCAATTCAACAAAGGGGGGCACAGGCTGGCTCGTGTGGTCAGTAGATGAGCTACGCCAAATTCCCCTGATCTCAAACCAATCGAGCATCTGTGGGATGTGCTTGAGAAACAAGTCTGATTCATGGAGGCCCCACCTCACATCTTGCAGAACAGATACCACAGCACATCTGTCAAGTGCATGTCAGGACTGGGGAACCTACACAATATTAGTCAAAGGAGCTTGCAAAGAAAAGAGTCTGGACTTCTTTAAGTTGCTTGAAGACGTTTCACCTCTCATCCGAGAAGCTTCTTCAGTTCTAAGGTCAAATGGTGGAGAGTCCCAGATATAAA